TGGCTCTATGTACCGTTGTTTTATCACAATGCGAGAAATATATATACATTTATGCAGATTTTTCATTATTATAACCTAAAGCTAAATGGCAACAGTCAACAAAAATTGAAACATCTAAGATCTGAACCGTTAGTTAAAAGAGATTCTACAGATTTTTGCATGGGCATAACTTTTCCTCTTATCCAAGAGTAACTGCTTTATGTTACCTTTATTACTTTTGACATAACTCATAATTTGACATAACTTAATTCTTCCATGTAGTGTTTTTCTTATAATTAAAATTCTTTCTTATTTGCTTGGTTAAATGTAAAGTTTACATGGCCGTCTGGTTATAAACTGGCAGCCCAACAGTAGGCCCGAATCCTCAAAAATTTAAAACTTATTACCGAAAGCGGAGCGCAATTTTTTTCTTCGAGCTCTTCCTGCGTTAAAAGAAGAAAATTACCACCCTGGTGATATGGAAAATTTTGATTTTTGACGATTTGGAAATTAACAGCCATCCGAGGAGTGAAGGATTAATCCAATGTCCTTGCGTTTACTGTAAAGCAATCATGCAGTAAGTAGGAATTGTATTTTATACAATTCCTATACTGCATGTAGTAGTTAAATTGAAATTGATTATGATAGTTTAACATAGAGCAAAAGCATGTTTAATTTTGTAAATAAAAAGAAATAATATGTGAGAATCAAAAAGAAATGAATCAACAGAAGGAAATGATTGAAAATATGTCATTAAAACTCAAAGCTACTGGAACGGATGTACCAAAGAATAAATGTGGAAATTCTCCAGATCCTAAATTCAATCTTGTTAGTCTCAGTTATCATTGATTAGAAAAGAAATCTTAAACTCTATTTGAAAAACCTGCGAAAAAAAATGGAGCAAGCTTGGAAGAAGAATTATAAGACCTTGGAGATGGAGGAAACGGTTTAAAAACTGAAAGGCTCTGGTTCTACAACAGATGATTGTTCTAGTAAACTTTTTAATATTCTCATAAATTTAGGAAAGTTAAAAACAATTCAAATTTAGAAAAGGAAAATAAATGGCTCAAAAATGTGTTGAATTAAGTGTAGTCGTCTAGCAAAAGTAATAAAGATAAACAAAATAGTAATTCCCACATGTGCAGTCAAGTTGCCTTCGAACAATTCTGCGATTTCAAAAATTTTACTTTCTAAGTTTTAAGTTCCTTTTACAGTAGAGTGGATCTGATATTGTGATTTGGCTTTTAGAATTCGAGAGTCGCTTCAAACCAGGGGGAGATCCAACCCCATATAATGAACTTTTCAAGAACTGATTCTATGTTAAGTGAATCATTCCGATTCAGTGATGTTTCAGGGAATCATCCCGATTCAGTGATGTTTGAGGGAATCATCTCGATTCCATGTTAAATGAATCATAACGATTCAGTGAAGTTTTAGTGGAATCATCCCTGATTCTGCATGTTAAAATGAATCATCCTGATTCACGAAAAGTTTTAGAGTGGAATCATCCCTGATTCCATGTTAAATGAATCATTCCCGATTCATTGATGGTTTGGAGAATCATCCTGATTCTGTCCAAATTTAGACGAATTATCCCAATTCATTGTTGTTTTGGAGAATCATCCTGATTCTATGCAGTTAAATCAATCATTTCTAAACTCGTCATCAAAAGATTCCCGGTTTACTCTTCATAGAGATGAATGTGAAATATCTTGCCGACTCTTCGTCGAGACGTCATCAGAGCCCGAGGGGGAGTCTATAACCTAACGCTAAATGGCAACAGTCAACAAAAATTGAAGCATCTAAGATCTGAATCGCTAGTTAAAGAGATTCGACAGATTTTTGCATGGGCATAACTTTTCCTCTTATCCAAGAGTAACTGCTTTATGTTACCTTTATTACTTTTGACATGTAATTCTTCCATGTAGTGTTTTTCTTATAATTAAAATTCTTTCTTATTGGCTTGGTTAAATGTAAAGTTTACATGGCCCTCTGGTTATAATATTTAATTTCTTTAAATATAATATAGGGCAATAATACTTTGTGGCAACAGTTTGAAAAGTGATTCGCCGTTTGTAGTGAATCGACGCAAAATCGCGAAACGAAAACAATAGTCCTTCAGGGACAAACCCCTTTGGACTTATAACATTTTTTTACCCTTTTTTTTTAAATAAATGATTTATAAAATGTGCAGTTCATTCTGACTATTACTGTGGATGGTTAAAGAACTTCAGGAGACAAAAGAAATAAATTCTATTAATTAAGTAAAATGTTCCAGGTTGAAAAAAACCAGGTCTAAACAAAAGTAAAAGTAACAGCTTTTGCAGACAACCTGTCTGCTTCATCAGGTTGAAGTGAAATGAATGGCCGACCTCGTTCTTCTTTCTTAATTGCTGTTGTACTTCTCAGAACTGACTTAGATGACTACAGATATATTGTAGAATGAACAGAAGGTCTGTGTTGCAATACAGTCTAGAGCTTACTTCTAGTCTTTCTCTAATTTTAAAGCTACATTTTTCCCGGGTTTATTGATGTTTCATGCAAATATTAAATATTGTGCTCCAAGGAGTATTTAACAAAAGATGCACTATTTTCATTGATGTACTTGTTGTCATAGACATTTTAAATATTGTAACAGATTTTGTATTTAATTTGCCCTTTTTAGTAGAATTATGAATAAATTGTTCCATTTCCTTGTGCAATGCAGCACGAAACTTATTTGAAGAGAAAGCTACGCCGGAAAAGTTAAAATACAGGAGCACGCGCATTTAATAAATAGATATCTAGTAATTGCTTTTGCTTTCCAGAAAACTCGAGAAATAAAAATTACCCGAATGTTCTCGTGCATGTTTAAAGAGCTTATAAAAGCCGGATCAAAACATATCAATTCAGTTGTTTAGCAATTGTTTATTTAGTTCTTGTTGTCGATTGTAACGAATTCGCTGTGAGATCGGATTAGCCTTCTCTTACGATTTAAATTGTGTTCTGTATAACGTTTTAGTGGTTTAAAATATAACTACTGTGAGATATTGTGATATTGTATGAATATTTCTGAGGAAATTTCAGCATTTTGTTTTATTTTTGGGGGCTAAGAATAAATTTTATTAACTTTTCATCGACTTGTGCATTCAATCCATTGGGATCTCGTACGCACGCAATAATATGTTTTTATGCCTTAGCAATTCCTTCTGATAATTTTCAGAAAGTCGAAATGATACATTGTGTTTCTTTCGACTTTGTCCCATTCATTTATTGAATATGGATGCTTCAAGGATATTTAACCGAACATGTCTTATTTTTATTGATGATGTCCACAAGAAAGCTTCAAGGAGAAACTGGCCTTAAAGTTAAATCTGGATTGGTGAAAAAATAGTATATTCTTGAAATCTAATGAGCATTTCATTTTTTAAGAAAATGCGTACCGAAAAGCAGATATTTAACCCAACTGTACTATGTTGAAAACAATCCTAAAGATAAAAGAAACACTAGAGAAATATATTATGGAATGATGAAAAAACGATTTGGAATCAATGGGAAACACGTTATTTTCCATTGTCAAGGCCAGACATATAATCCAAAATATACAAGAAAAACCATTAAAAGTATAGGTGGCAGTATTACGGTGTGGGGTTCTTTTTCATGGAATGATTTGGGCTCAGGTTTTCGTGTAAGATGGTATTACGACCAAAGAGGTGCATGTGGATATCTTAGAGAGTACGGTGTTATCATGGACAGTAGAAGACCTGCCACCGAAATGGCAAATTATCAACAAGATAATGATCCACGTCATTCAGGAAAGCTGATTTAAACAGAACAGGTTTCATGCTCAGTCATTGGGCCTAACTCCAATTTATAACATATGGCATAACTAGAAGATTAAATGAACCAGAACCCATCAAATCTGAAGGAACTTTGGAGGGATGTAGAAGATTCAAAGCATTCTCTTCGTGTTGCAAAATGACAAAAATTAGTTGACTCCATGCCCCATAGAATCAGTGCAATCCTTTAATACAAGGGATTAGCAACTAAATTTTAATAAAAAAGTTAAAATTTTTGTACTAAATCATTATTCTCAGTAACAGGATATTCTTACCTTTTGGTCTAGTGCAGTTTTGGATAGGTTTTGGATAATTAGCAATGATGCTTACAGAATCAATAAATTATATCATTAATGTCCAAAACATATATATTATTCATGAATTTAATGTGATAAGAAGTCGTTATACCTTAAATTACTAAAAAAAAGTGTTTCCATTTTTCATTTTTTTTTCTTTCTCTCCTTTTCTACCCCTTTTTTGACCAGAGCTATAAAGGTTAGAAGGAAAGTGTTTGCAAGGAATTTTAAAGATTTTATATTTAATTTTTGTATCATATTCATGTTACACACTATGAAAGCCCCATGCAGCCCACTTGTTCAGTCATAGGAATAGAGTTAAAGGTAAATTACCAAAGTTCAGTGAACCTATCCGACCAGTCATTAGTAGCATTGAAGAGAGATGAGCATTAAATCATCTCTTAAAATAATTTAAGCATTCAATTTAGGATGATTTGTAATACCGTTTTAATAATAAATTTTGCTTAATTTCAAAATATAAGAAAGCCCTTTAGTACTAAATTAAATAGCACATAAAATATCATTTCTTATAAATTTGTGCTAACTGTAGATCATTATATATATTTAAGTCTGTAGGGATTATTTTAACTTTCTAATAATTATTTTAATTTGAAACCCTTTCCTTTAAATTCTTGTCTAACACACAAATAAATCAATATCTTCATAAATCAATGCTACTTATAAAGGAAATTTACATTTGAATATTGCGCTTAAAATATAAAGCAAGTATTATGAAAAATGTTATTTTTATGTTTGTTTAGGAATTCTTGTAAATATGTAAAAAAATAATTTTAAAATATTTTGAGAAATTTGGATTCTACAACCAACATGCATTCAAATCTTCTAAAAATATGGAAAAAATTCTTAATCTGACTTAAATTACAAACAAATAAAAAATATCTCTTACAGAAACTTTAATCATCCACCTTTCCTTTTCAGAATTTAAGCCTTCGATAATACTTTCAGCCCTTTCTAATTTCAATGCAAGGATTTTTGCAGTTCTAGCATATTCTCCTTTTTTCTGTAGCAGTAACTCATGCTCTTGTTCTAAGCGTTTAATTGCTGCTTCAAGCTATTTTAATATAAATTAATTCTAAATTTTAAATTTCTTTAAAGACTAAAATGATTTTACCTTAATCACATTCAAAATCAACCAAACAATTATAAAATATAACTGTATTAAAAATTATTTATGAAAAAAGATTTAAAAAATCGGAAATTATGGGTATTCGGGAGTTAGATTAAACCAGTAATAAAATAAAAACTGAAAAATTAATGTAAGACAAAATTTGTGAAATGTACATGAAGATATAAATTTTCATTATTTGATTTGTTTTTGTAAGGATAGCATTATGTTTCTTAATTTTCTAATGTTTATTCAATTTCTTTGAGTTCTATTTCATAATTCCAATTAAGATTAACACTGTTTAATTTTTATACAAATAGTTTTGAATTAACATGCTTAAAAGCGAAGGTGTCGGGGGACATTTACTCAAGTATTTTATAAATTTTACTATATAAATTGCTTTTCACTCAAAATTTGTATTAGCGAAAATGCTTAATTCAGAATGAGTTCTTCGGTACTCTACTTTGGTTCTAAATCCCATCATTTCACGGAACTATTTGGCCTAATTTAATTTGCCAATTTGGCATAACCATACTTACTTGAGTAAAAGACGAAACACCTTCGTCTTTTACTCAGTTGTTCATTGAACGGGAATTGGTTTGTTCCGCTTGAAAAGTCAACTAATTTCCGATCAATAGCGATAATTACTTGCTTTTAATTTAATTTCTTTTTCAAAGTTTGAAATTTTTTTATTCATGATTTAATTCAAGTCCCCGTAAAACATTTTTAATAATTTACATTCAAGTTACTTTAAAACATAATTTTCGGAATTAAACTTCCTACATATGGGTTCACTCTTTTTTGACACTTCTACTAAAACTTATATTGGGAGATAATATAATCAATATTTCTTTAATAAATAAATTATTATTATCTTACTTTGCAGCTATTGCGCAATTTTTGAAAAACTTGTTTTCGAACTAAATGAATTTAATATTATATATATATATATATGTGTGTGTGTGTGTGTGTGATGTACCAGATTTCGTCCGGAATAAATAGATTGGTGAAGAATCATAGATGTAGTCGTGGCTTAAATTATCAGACGATAAGTTTAAAAAACAGGATCCATTTATTATTGTTTAGGAGAAATAGCAGTTACAAAAATCAAAACTCCGGAGTAAATAAAAAGAACTACTAATAACTTTTTGTATGAAGTTTACTGCATCGTTACATTAAAGAAAAGACCCCGATATTCCTTTGCGAGTCCTTTTATAGGCTCTGGAAATGCGGAGCTTCCAATAAATGACGTCAGCCTCGTCAGCCACTCCATTTCGTTTTAAATATTTCCAGAACATTCTATAACTGTACGTGTAGAAAAGGCGGAAAAAACAACTTGGCTACGGGGCTGTGGATTTAATTCCACGTATTTCAAATAAAAGAACGTCGCCATTAAAAATGAAAAGAACATACAGTTAGAATTTTAAGTGTATTCTTGACTATGGAATTTAATTATTACACACACACACACATATATATATATATTATGTACATATACGTATTATATATATATATATATATATATAAATATTATATATATATATATATAATCTAATTATAGGCAGAGTGCTAAAGCTTCCTTCGCTCAGCCGACTGTTTGACATGGCATCAATGAAACAGCCAAAACAGACTCACAGTTCTTATATTATTTTTTTCACTTATTAAGAAAAATGACTCAAGCACCATTTTCTATTTTAATGACAAACTATAACTACATGCTAGTAGTATCAAGGAATTATCAAATTTGAGATTTTAATGGCCATATTTTACAGAACTTCAGTCATTTCCTATCCCACAAATACTTTAATTTCATTGATTCTTTAATTATTGGGATATCTTTAAAATCTTTTCTTCTTAATTCTGTTCAGTTCAGCTCTTGGAATTTCATTTTTATTTGAAGGATTACAGGGAAAAAGTACAGATGGTTAAATCAAAAGAGTGAAAATGAAAAAAGACAGACATGACAACCAAGTTGTTTTGGATTGAAAACCACATTGCTACTGCTGATGGAATAACATGAAGTAATATCCATTTCCTAAGGACCATAAAATATAAGAGTTTCAACCTCATATGATTATGCTGATACTTTACCATGCCAATAATAGCGCTGATTGTTGGCTTCGTGGATTGAATTTTTGCAGAATTATATTGGGGCTACAGAATTCCTTTATGGCTGAGAAAGAGATTTAACAACAGACGTTAATAGTACTGCTTTAGCCTTGCCACATTTTTTTCAGATGGTACAGACCGTTGTGAGAATATTTTATTTTTCGGGCTTTAGAACTCGTGTATCAATGAGCTCCTAGAAGAGCAAAGTCAAGGTTAATAGTTGCCACTAATATTCACATGTAATCCAATATTTTAATGAAGGAAAATATGGAATGGCATTGATACTACTGAAAAGACTACCGAGTCTCAGATGGATATTGAACCCGAGGCTATATCTCTACAGGAAGACACTTGACATCTATATCTTTCAAAAAATGGTAATCACTCCAAATACTTTTTTTTCTTAACCTTCTGTTAAAGTCTGATGTAATTTGATTTTGACTAATTTATGAAACTGTGATGGATTAAATATGGAAAAATTTAACTATTTAATAATAATAATTTTTTTTTATTTCAGAAAATAACTTCTTGGGTAAAATGTTACCCAAGAAGTTGTTTTCTGAAATCAAGATATCAATGATGGTAACAAAATAGAGAGAAAGACAACGGAAAAATCTAGTCTCAAGTTGGTATTTTTAAAGTGGAAAGGAGCAGAATATTTACTACAAAGATTTCAGTTTGTTTCATATTATCTCCTGAAATGCATACAGCATTTCCATTTACTACTAGTGCCAAACTGATTTTAAATTTTTTCCATTTTTAAGTTCATGCTCGCTTTTCCTCCCCCCTTTTACTAAAAGTTTCTTGAAATTGTTAAAGACTAACTGTTATTTAAATTTATATATAAGCGTAGTGAGAAAAACCAAAATAATCATTTGCATGAAAATGAATTTTAGAAGGCGTTTGACGAGAAGTATCAAAGCTTTTTTTTTTCTGTAGCTAAAGAATATTGTTTAAGAAATAGGATTTAAAGTAATAATTTTAGAGAAAAAAAGTTTATTTACTTCTTCCAGCTCTTTCAATAAACTAGCTAAAGTTTTCTGAAGTCTGTCCAATTCTTCCTGAGCAATTCGAAGTCTTTCCTTTTTAGGTTTCACTTTTCTGTAAAAAGCCAAAAAGAAAAATGAAAGAAAAGAATATTGTAATACAGCATATTATACTAGTTTTAAAATAAACAGAAATATTTCAAATTTTGTACATATAAACTGTATATGGTATTATTATCAGGGGCATATAAGCATTTACTAAATTTGTTGCATTTGTTGAAAAACAAAACAACTTTTTTAATTGCTTATAAATTACATTGCAAGCTAGAGAAATTTCACTTTTGTTCCTCTGATTCAGTTCGAAAATCTTCTCCTAAACAACTGATTTTCTAATTTGGAATCTTTCAGCAAGGCTCTTGTTTCTTCTATTAATGTTCAATTCATTCTTCATGCTTTTCGATTTAATTGTGATGAAAAAAAGGACAATATAATCCAAAATAATTCTTCCTTTTACATGAACTTTTTAAATTTTCACTAATGAATTCTCCTCCATATCTTTATACTCCCATGTTGCAATCAGATTCTATTTCTACCTCACAAATCTTTAGTGCATTAAACTTTTAATATTTACCTTCTATCACATATACCACTATAGAATTCGCATGATCATTAGGAAAAGTTATAAACTATTTCTTTTTATCCCAATTTACTGAATCAACTGGCCCACACAACGCAGTATGAACTATTTCCAAAGATTTCTTAGATCTTATTCTGTCATATTAAAAGGCAATCTTCTTTATATAACTTGCAAACATATTCCACAAACAAAACCATCCTTCAGACAATCGTCGGATATCTTCAAGACAGTTTCTTCAGGCTTTTATAACCAAGATATTTTAATCTTTTGCGATATAATATAGTTTCAGATGCCTTCCCTTCAGCTGAAATATTCACATTTTAAAATTTCTTATCAAGAATTACATTATACAAACTATTTTCAGTTCTATAACCTTCTAAAATGTTTTTACTTTCTTTTTTATTTCCACTTTATTATAAAAGACTTCACCACTGTTATTAGTTTTTGCACATGCTGAATAATAAATTCTTATTTAACAATGGAACACATAATATATAATTCAAAGTACATCAGTTTCCAGTGCACTTGGTTCGTTATGTAAACCCAGAATTGAAGCAGCAGTCAATGGAGTGGAAACACACAGTATCTTCCAAAAGAAAATATTCAAAAAATTTATGTCAACCCAAAAAATCCGAAAATGTGCACCACATTTTCGGATATGAAAGGGATTCTGCTTTTTGAATTTCTTCTTAGAGGTAAAATTGTAAATGCTTCTCGATACTGTGAGACTGAAATCAGTTTCGGTGTACAATTCAAAACAAAAGGGAGAAATGCTTAGTGAAGCAATCCTTTGCTTCATGACGATGCTCGGCCCTGTGCAGCTACCGTTACTCAAGATTCGGTTTACAGCACTTCGATCATCCCCCTACAGTCTAGACCTGCCACCATCGGACTACCATTTGCACATGAAGCGTCACCTTCGAGGTCAACACTTTAAAAGTGCGAATGACACAAAAATTGCTAATTGTTGTTAGACCATAAATATCTGTTTTGAATCTTGACAAAAATCATTGATTTTTGCTTTACGGAAAACATTTCTTAAAAACTTCCAGTAGAACCTGACTCTTTTTTCCTGAAGACATTGATTCATGCCAAAATAAGGTCTTCTTCATGAAGTTTATTCTTCATGAAGTGAAGCGTGGAAATTACAAAATACTGTAGCTTTCTTCCTTCTAACACTTCCTTAATTTTTTTAATCGTCTTTTATTTCACCCTCATTAAGATGTTTCTTCAGAGATGAAAATTCAGAGATTCTTAAGGTGTTGACATTTTCTCTTTTAATCACCAACCATCTTGCCATAATATCGTTTAATTACTGTTCATGATTTGCCATGTGTGCAGATCCATATATTCAAGACTGTCTATCAGAAAAATAGAGTTACGAAAACAGATGTACACAAATTTTATATAACTGTATAATAATAATAATGTAAAGTTTTTCACCCTTTTTATATTGTGCCTTCATAGCGTGACTGAGAAACACGTCTAGTTAGCAACTCAGTAACGTTCAAATTTTGCACTAATTTCTTAAAATTATTAGCCCAAAAGGGATCTATTAATTTCAAAATAGGATTGCGTTGGTTTACTATAATCGGTGTATCACTTTTCAAATTGTTGCCAGCAAATATTATCGCCTTGTATAATTTTTAAAGAAATTTAATACTGAAGCATCTGCATGTACGTTCCTCGTACTGTGAAAAACGACGATATCTAGCCATCAAATTTTGAATAATGTAGTTATCCACTCGAACATGAAGCTTGAATTTTGAGTTTCGGATTTGTTTTATTATTTATTTCATATTCTATAAAACCTTTAATGAATTTTTGATTAACAAACTTAATGACTTGAAAGCCAGCAATGGCAATACTGATCGAAATAAAACTTTATTTTCCGCACGCAAGACTGTTGCCATTCGTGGAAATGTAAGATATTTATCTTTTAATTTTAATTAACAAACTCTATGAAAGCAATATGTAGTAGCGGTCGGAAATAAAATACTTTTATCTTCCACGCGTCAGCGTGTTGCCATTCAGTTAAGCCGAAGATGCTGGACTTAAGATAAATTTAGTTTTGGTGGGTATTGAGTAAAAAACTAACCGTTTTAAAAGCAAAAAACGCAGTTCTTAAGTATACGTTTTTATACTTTTTGATTAGATTGATATAAACAAACATGTATTAAAATCATGAGATGTCTCATTAGAAATTTTCAATATATTTATGAAATTACACTAGTTGGCCTCATTATAATCATTATATACTTTTTTTATTTTAATGGTAATGATTAAAATATGCTAGATGATTTTCTTTAAAAACTAGCTAGTTTTTAAAGAAATAGTATGTAAGATTCTAACCTGTTTACTTTTAAGTTACAGTTAAAGTTGCGTAACCTTAAGAATTGGTAAGCAAATAATCGCTTGAGTTCGTGAGACAGTAAATAAAACTTGAGAAGGTTTAAAGACCCTTTCTTATTCCAAATTAATTTCACAGAACTTGGAGTTTTACAATAAAGCTTCCACTCGGGGTTGAACTCAAAAACTAAGAAATGAACTTAACTGAAAAGGTATAGCCGAAGCTATCAAAATTCTAACAGAGTTAGCCATTTAATGCTGAATAACACCGAAGCTATCAAGGGCCTAAAGTACGGACGAGCGTGATAATAGCTTAAGAGAGAATAGCATAAGAAGTTGAACGCGCGCTAGTCAGAATCAATAGTTCTCTCGCTAACGAAGTCAGTAGAACTTCACGGTTAAATACTTCTCATTTGCATTCAAACGCGATTCTAAAACTACGGTCTGGCCGAAAGTTGTAAGTTGAAATTCAGGAAGACAGGAGAGGAACTTTAACTCAAAATTTAACTATTAGATAAATTAACATAATCATTTCAAGTATAACGAATATAAAAATATGTAAGGCAATCTTCAACATAAAGATATGCCGTTTTAAAAATTTTGTGATTTTGCTGTTGAATTCAATTTTGTGCGGTTTAAAAGCGAAGAACGTGATATTTAATAAATAAAGTTAATTCGTGATATTTAATATTGAAAAGACAAATAATTTTTATCAGCCATTTTACTAAGAAAATTGAATACTGATATGAAAAACTGGGAAAAAATTGAAAAATATATATATATATAAATATATGCCAACACTTGGCACTACATCGGGTATTCTAAATATATGCTGCTAAAATTTTGTGTAAAATTTTAAAAACATATGCTTTTGAAACTTTTGTGATTTTTTTGTTGAACAGTATGTTGCATTGCGTAAGTCCGAAGAAAATGGTGCTTTATAATTAAGCTAAAAAGGCAAAAAAAGGGGTGTTAGCAGAAGTGAGTGCAAGAGCAGCCTGGTAGACTGCGAGCTCAGCAAGAATGTAACAAACTGACCGTTAAAATCTGAAACATTTTAGATTTTTTTCCTTTTTAGATAAATAATATTTTCTTTTATTTGTAACACAGTTTCAGGTTTTTTTTTTTTTTTTTTTTTTTTTTTTACATGATTTTTCTTAATTACTTAAAAATAACGAACTCACTCAATATTTTAGCAGCAATGCATCAGCAGATTTGGTCCTCTACCAGCCAGTGATTAGTTAGCAGAGATTTTGGTCTCTGATAATTAATAACTAGCTGGTATAGGAATTTTGATCAGCATTTCAGTATATACACACATACGCAGACTAACATAAAAAATCTGATGTGTGCAGCACATGATGACACATAATTTCCCTGCTTTCAATAGCAAAAAGCATCTTATCACTTCTGGTTGATCGCTTGTAAACAAATTTTAATTTGTTATTCCAATAAACAGGAAGGTTTGTGGTATGAAATTTTGGCCATATGTAAAAATGGGTTTTGTAAATTTATATCAGTACCACCAAATATTTTCCATTTAATTTCTTTTGATTAAAAATTGCACTTTAATGGCCAGTTGAATAACATATAATTTAATTGTTTTCAATAAAACAAAATTAAGCGTTTGTAATATATTTAAAGTAATTGCTTTGAAAGGAAAACCATAATTTTTTAACTTTCTTATATGTTACTTCTATAGTATCAACAGATCTAAATTCATTTTGATATGCACGTATACTCCCGCGATATTTAGGTATTAGTAAATAATGTACATTATTATTTGTAAATACAGCTGAATAGTGACTACCGTTCGTTTCAGGACCAATAAGAAGTAAAGCAATATCTGTTTTCGAAATCACTTTTTGCTTATGTACTTTATCATCTTCAACAGCTAAGAGAATAATAAATGCACTTTTTGCTATCATGTCTGCATTGCAAGAGTTTTGAAATTCTGCAAATGAAATGCTCTTATGAAAATCATTCTCTTCTACCCCTTGTATAAGTAAATATTGTATGTATATAAACAGAAATGGCTTTAATATGTGCTGCTTTTAGACTAAACTCTTCTTATAGTGATTTGATATTTGTCCATTGAAATTTGCTAAGAGATCCACGTAAATCCGCTTAATCATCTCGTATAATCAAAATCTAATATGTTCTCAATCATAACTGCATATCCATCGTGTGAGTTTTAAGTACTAAAACTGAGAAGATTTGAGATTATATCATAATACATTTTTTCATAAAAATCCGTTCAGAGATTCGAGTAAAGTATAACACCTGTTTTATAAATTTTAACCAAAATCGAATATTTGTTCCCGTTGATACAAAAGTTTTTAATACTAAAATTTAAAAGTTTTGGATTATACTTTAATATAGTTTTTCATTAAAAACTCCTGTGAGCTTTAAGTAAAGTATTACTTCCAATTGTCTATTAAGAACTGTTATGGGCTTCAATTAAAGTACCATTTGCGGTTGCCCAATTTTATCTTAAATCTAATGAACTCTTTAAATGAACACAGATATCTAAAGCAGAGGAAACAGAAATTTTTGGAAGTTTAACCCTTTGTTGCATACAAATAATCTAGAGAAGTTAAACAAAAATATTTGTATTTTTTCTACTTAAAATAACCTTAGTAATAATAAAAAAAAATTAATTTTATTCAAATTTCGTTTTAAATAATTGCTACAGTTTGTTCACTACAGTGGACAGCATGCATATATGTACATGCATACAAATCTCTTCCCAACGATTTACGGTCATTGCATTTGAAATCATTTCCTACCTTGTTTGCAGTGATCATTACCATCTTCTAAATGGTAAATCTACAACTGACATATACATACAGATCTCCCAAAATACCTTCATTTCGTCGATTGTGATTGAATTCATTTTGCTACGATTTTCTAACCTGTACCTATTGGATTCAAATGTCAAATGTTCTAGAAATTCCTTGCCAAACATAAATATTTCCAGTGGTGTTTTGGCTTGATAAGCAATACATTTAGGCTTCAATTCACTCTTTTCGGTAGATCTTTATCTACCCACTCCACAATTTTCTCAAACTGACATTTAAAATAAAATGTGTAAAGTTACTAATTATGAATAAAAAATGGCAAGTATAAGAAAATGTAAGCAATATTATATAATGTTTACTATGAGAAATTGTACTAACTTGGAAACAGAAGTAGCACCCATTTTCCAAATAGCAATGCTTTACTTAGTGATGCTATACAGCCATTATGATCGACAGTTGAAAGTTCTAATAATATAGAATGAATAAATACAGGAATGGAATCTGTTAAGGCATTTACAGAAGAATAAACAGATTTAAACTTTTGTCTACTAGAATGGACATGAAGCAAACAAAGGGTTAATATAAGACTTACCATGGACCCCCCTCCCCCCAAAAAAAGGGGGAGGAAGGTTCACAGACATCATTGTAAAAATAATAAAAACGTATTATGAGGGCGCTAATTCATGCTTATTCGCTGAAAAATCACTACTGTCAGATTTGTGGACTGAAAACATTGACTTTCTTATTTATGTATACGGGTTGGGAGGTAAAAATAATGTTAGAGAAACATCTTTGTATTACACACATTTTTTTCCATTTCATCGCTTTTAAATAAATTGGAATATAAAATTATGAAGTAGCTGTAAGCTTTTGAATTTTGTCAAGATATTTCCTCTGAAGCATCATTAAAAGGATAATTCTATAAAAGCATCTTAATAGTATGCAAAAACTCATAATTGATTTAAAATCTTGAATTTTAATTCTTTATATTTATCTTAAAAGGAATGAATAAAATTTTGATTCTAAAAAAATATACTTTCAAAATACTAAATTATTGGAGAAATGTAGAAAACAAAGATAATTTTTTTCAGCATGAAATAAGACTCTGAAAATCATTATAATGAAATTGAATTATGCATTATACGATCCGATTGCTAAATTGTTACTGTGGTACCTTTAGAAAATAAAGAGAATATACCACTTGTAGGATGACAGCATCAGTACTTACTTATATATTTCTCCATATAAATGCATAGACTGAACCCATATGCACAAAGATTTAGCTGCAATGGATACCTTTCCTACAATACTTGGCTGGAATTCAGGTTTTTTCAGATATCTTCCTACTTTATGTAACGCAGTATCTGGTATATTATCTTTGTCATATTCCAAAAGTTCTTTTAGAAATGAAGGACTTCCTACGAATTGAAGAGAAATTTGAAATTCGGAAACTGATTTGATAAAATTAAAAAATATCATAGGAATAAAATTTATTTCTTAATTGTTATTTCATAATAATCGGTTTTGGAAGTTCTGAATAATAAAAAATAGAAATACATGAACCTTTCTTGCAATAATTGGTGTTCACATATAATTCCCCGGAACTAAAGTTGTAAGATCTGTCTCTGTTATTCCACATAAACTAAATTAGATCCTACAATGAACCTGGAGAATTCTTGCACAGGGGTGAATAAAATTACCAGCACAGAAGAAGGGTGAAAGTAACCTTTTATTTAATTCAAATAAATTAGCAGAAAGGCACGATCTTCGTGCTTTACAATGGTACCAACTTGCGGCGAAATTGAAACGCAGAATAATTTAAGTTAAAATCTAAAATAAAGTAGTGCTGGGTTAGCACGTTAAATTACGCCTAACAGGTTGGCTCACAAAACCTAACAGACGTGATGATAAGCCGGAATGGCCAAGAGGCTTACTAGCGTAACAGCGAAATAGCAACGAAACGTGCGCTGGCTAGCGAAAACACGCTCAGAGATTCACACTGGCTAGCGAAAACACGCTCATGAAGAGATTCGCCCGTTTAAATATTCACTTCACTTAACTTTAAATTTACATCCTGGCAAGAAAATGTGAGGGGAATTTGAGTAGTTCAATAAAGATATAAAACTTAAAATGAATTTGTTATGCAAAATAAGGGAAGCCCTACAAAGTTATATGTTCATCTTGAATAGATAAGTTATTTGACTAGACAACGTTTGGAAAACATCTTAATACTGAAAATGTTTCGTAAACATTTTAATATAAAAAAATTACTGACATAAAAGTTAAAAAATTTCGAGAATTAAATTTTATTTTACACAGAAAGAAATTTCTAGATTATTACCTAAGATCAAAAACATAGAATTAAAATTAAAAGAAAGACACTAATTCACTTCAGTATACCAACAGACATAAGGCAGGTGGCTTCTACATGACTTTCGTTATAAACGCACATCCATGACAATGAATATAAAGATTTTTAAAATTCCTATACAATACACTATAAGTACTGTCAACTACAATCTAATTCATTATAATGCTATGTAATTTTTAATGTTCAATAATATCAATGCTCAATAATATAATAATTAATGTTCAATAATATAATAGGAAGAAGGAATCTTCATAATTATTCAAAGGATGAATAGACACAAAAACATTTCATCGTTCCTTCCTTAGAAATAAGGATGTGGAATTTCCTCTTTTTTTTAAGCTGATTACTTAAATAGGAGGTCTACAAAGCAATGAAATGATGAATATATCAGTCATGACTTGCCATTTACTACATTCATGTTTGTAATTTCACAGCATTAATAATTTAATCTCAGCTCTCACAAGATCTTATTAGATAAGTTGTTATTTGCAGGTAATTAATTTTATAATCTGATATTTAGCTTTAATTAACCAAACAATCAAATAAAGGATGAGTTATTGAATCAAATCTAGTTTCTGATATGATTAAACTCTTTTTATGCAAATTATATCATACAAAAGAACATGGTGGTGTCATATACATAATAAATCCAGATCCTCTAATTATTCCTTCAATAAGAAGGAGAGCTCTTTTCATTTTACTTTAGCTTCTTTCTACAGAATTGGATTAATTGACATCTTTCTCCAGTATCCAAACTCACGCATTCTGAAAAAGTATGTCCAAATCCGTGCATAATTGATTTCAGCTTGAGTGTCATGGATACTGTTCAATTACACTTGTAGAGACATTAAGCTTTTTTGAAGCGGGAGAAGTGAAAACCGTGCAACGCTCTCGCCGGGACTCGAACCTGGATCTCTCGAATACGCACCGAGTGTGCTACAGTTACACCACGAAGGCTTGCAGAAAGGAGAGAGAAAATACATTATACCCTAAAGGAGTTAAACCCTACTGCATTAGCAAAAAGAGGCGAACATGTGACAAACACCCATGTCTTATTCAGAATATGAATGCATCTTTGTCAGGATCAGAGTTGTCTCTGATAATCATCATGCTAATTGGACATTGATTAGCCACGACATTCATCTCATCTGGTTTTTATAAATTTCTTTAACTGAAGGAGAGCAAAGTAAATGATCTGCAAGGAAGGAATTCTAATCAGTAGAAAAACAAAAAGGAAATTGTCCGATTCAAATCTATTATTTACAAATGATATGGAGATTCAGTATCGCAAAGAGACTTCGCACAAAATTGCTAATTCTTCTTAACATGGCATTAACGGAAACTGCTAACCAGAATTTGCATTTTATTATGAGTCGCAGAGATAAATTTCCTGAATACATGAACATTAATGGTGAACATAATGAGCTCCTAAAGGTAAAATCAATACTGTAAACATATTTTTAATTAATTATTCTACTATATTTTAAATGTTATTGTTAGAAAGGTAGTCAATTTGCTTTTCCTAATTAAATACTTGATAACGGAAACAAGAGGCAGATTTCAGACACATACAATTTTAAAATGACACATATAAAATTATAAATAAAAAAAAACTGATGAACCTAATTGCCGTTTTGCTTCTGCCCATGATGGTTCAGATGCTCTTAGTATCATAACAGCTTCTAAAACTATTTCAACAAGGACAGGTGGCTTGGCGTAACTTTTTATTTCACCAATATCTCTTTTGTTCAATGCTTCTAGTGCCTTGAAAGTAGATACAAATAAGATTATGCCAATTAGTTTATAATTTGTTTTTTAAATTTAGGAATAGATGTTTGCATACAAACTTACATAAAATTAGGATTACTTTAAAATATATATAGGGAAATACTACTTAATTATAAGTAATGCAACTACAAAATTAAGTAAATTTTATTAAAACGAAAGACAGACAGACAGAAAAAAACCTCAAATTTGAAAATTTCACCTTAAAGAAATGTGTATTTCCATAATTATTTAGAAATTTAAAAATTATTGCTTTATGTATCAAGTTTAAAAAAATTTCCAGGGAAAAAATAATACATCCTGCAAAAAATTATTAAGTTTTGCAGATAAAATAACTTTTTTTTAAGTGATTCATTTTGCTGTGACAAAGAAAGTAAAACGCTTTAATAATACTGTAGATGTATACAACAGGTAGTATGCATTACTGACTAGAGAGGTTCTCATGTTTTCCCGCTCCTTATTTGTGATGTATGAGATTTTAAGATAATTATTGATTGTTTGATTTTATTGATATTCAGATAACATAAAACAATAAAGTCTCTTTGAGGTGTTAATAAAATGTATTTCATTTTCCATTTTTATACACTTGGATAGAAAAATTTACAAAATATTAAATTTAGTTTTTATATAATATTTTATAGTGCAAATTTATAAATGGACTTATACTTCTATAGGGAACATGTCGTAAACTTCATGCAATACTATTAAGAAGAAAACATTCCGAATTCGTTGCAAAATAAAGTATAATATACTTGTAAATCAATTATGCAGTAAAAGTTGTTTAACAGATGAGGCTCACATTCTACATTTTCAATGGAATCATAGATGATACATTTTCTTCTGAAACTTTAAAGCACCTTGCATGCAAAAACTTCAGAGTTCATGAAGAATACTATAAGACAGCTTGTGCTCATGTACAGTTTTCAGATTTTGTAGTATGGATAGAAGATTTTTAAGAAAAGGTATTTCATTACCTTGTAAAATTCCATTATGTTTACCTACTCCATTATTATGATTTAGATCTTTAGTGTCACTTCCCCTTTCCATCTCCCTACCAGAATGCAAATTAGATTTGAGCATATTTGAGGCGAAGTTTTCGGATTGTAACACAGAGAGTGTTTTTCCTTCTCGAGACCATGCTACTAGGTTTCACTAGCTCTGATAAGGTTATAATTCTTCGGCGTTACGTTATAGCTGCTGACATTTAAATTGTTACGCTAGTGAGAAATTTTCGAACCAACTTCGAGTTAAATCAATTATGCAGCCTTTGGCTGCTAGACTTAGTTTTAAATCTTGAATTCTAAGTTATATCGCCACAAGTGGTGGTTGATTTGTGAGCATGAGAAGTGAGTTTATGTTAAAGTTCTGATTTAATAAAAAGTTTTAATAAACCTTTTTAATATTTTGCAGATCTTTACAGGCACAGCAATAATTCGCTCTGTTAAAATTTTGGATCTAGTTATGCTGCCAAAGAACACCAAACTCTATAACATACACTATTCCTTTATCTCTTTTGCACTATTTCTTATTTTTATCTAATGTTGAAGCTAAAAAGGAGGCCTTTTTTGATGACATTAAGGAGAACCTTGACCAAAATTCTCAGTAAAGTTTTAAATGATTACTAAAAATGCATCGAAAACTGAAATGCATGCTGAATTTTTTATCGATATTACACGGCAATGAAGATATTGAAACAATTTTAACTGTGAGACATTAGGTTCTTTGGAAGCTGGAAACGTGAAAAATGAGCAATGCCCTCGCCGGGACTCGAACCTCTCGAATACGCGCCGAGTGTGCTGACCGTTACATCACAAAGGCATGCTAAGAAGGCGGAAGAAATACCTTATATACTTCCCTTTTTAAAGGGGACTGGGGATTAGGGGACCCAATCGTCATATCCTGGTGGTGGAGAATCATCATCCATCATCTTTTTTAGTTCGGACGCCACTATAGGGTCATTAGGACACTTTTTTCAAGCAAGAGTCATGAAAAAATATGCAATGCCCTCGCCGAGACTCTAGCCTCGGACCTCTCGATACGCGCCGAAAGTGCTAACTATTACACCACGAAGGCACGCTAAGAAGGCGGGAGAAACATGTTATATAACAAGAAATTGATAGCAAAGAGCATGTTATTTCTTAGTTTAGTAAAAACTTGCTAAAGTCAGAAAAAAATATGTGTCCTCAGAAAATAATTATTATCTATTGTTAAAGGCGGTAGAACATTTCCATCGTTATACCTGTGAGCGCAAATTAAGCACTGTGCACTGATTATGTTTCTTTAAATGACTATTTAATTTATGAAATAAAGAGGCTGAAGTAATCAGATGAATAGAGGAACTACAAGAATAAGACATTGCATAGACATGCTAACGCATGTTTTAGAAAATCTTGTGCGGAAAAGTACAAATCCTTCTTTAAAGGCGAGAAAAATCATAGCACAGAAATCTCAACATCAAGCTAATTCATATAGATTCTGCAACATCAGAGAGTAATTCCTAGAATAATAAAGAACTGCAAAAAGCCTAAATGGAAGGTTCTGAATTAAGGCTACTAATAAAATTAATAAAAACTACAAGTAAAACCAACTGGCAACGGATGTCACTCTTTAGTCCGAGAACGAAAAGTTCCTGAGCTCTACGCAAGGTAGAATTATCTGCTACAAACGGGAAGCCAACGACGGTAAGAGTTTCAGAGAGCAACTCATCTTACCGAGATACTGAGTCCCAGTGCTCTGTCAGAGCTCTACAGTAACCCTGTTGGATGCCATTTGGATTAACGAAGACACTCAAGTTAAAGTTTACATATTTTTTAAATGTTAGGTGTTTATTGATTTATAATTTGGATGCCTAGTTTTATTTATGAAATCTGTGGCTGATTACTATGTTTGAAAGTGTTTTTTCCTGTTTGATATCCCAGGATATGTAATTCTGAATTAGTCAACAGTTGAATTACAAAAATAGCTCATTCAAAGCCGGAGATGAGGACATAAACCTTTGCTATATCGGTAACATTATGGAAATTTTTGGAAAATCCACTTCTGAGAATGTTTTTTCTCAAAGCTTTCAAAAGTGTTTGGGCAATACTATAAATACGATTGCAGTAGAGCTGAAAGTCAGTTCAGTTATTCATTTTGAGTCACGTTGTAAGGATCTTAAGTTTTACTAACGTTTATTTCTATTTTAAATCTTTACTATCACTTCTTATTTTCTACTTCCGGTTAGAATTAAAAGCTTTAACTTATTTATGCAAATTTGTCTGGCGAACGCCAAGTACTTAAGTTGTGGCTTTTTGCCAAGCGAGAGAAGAGGAAGGAGTTAGTAGAAGCAGGCCGCTTGCCTTAGCAGTTTTTACTCGGTTGCTGGTTGCCTTCCAGGCCAGAGGTTTAATCCTCTTGATAATTTTAAACGTATTATAGTGTTAACAGTGCTCTGTACTACATACGGCTTCCTGTTAATATATGGCCAATCTTCCACGTAGGCCCTTGTTTATTATTCCAAAGTTAAGTTAGAGTTTAGTTAATATATTTATATTCTTACGTTCAGACCACAAGTGGTTGGTCTCTGTATTCCGAAGTACGGAAATTATAGTAAAGAGTGAAAAATAAAGGGTTTCGTATACCTTTCCTGTGTATCTTGTCTACTTCCCACATTTATTGAACATAGCTTTAGTAAGCTCCCTGTTCCGAGTCAGGTTCTTAATTGTTCCCCTAGCAAGTAAGGCGGAACATTGAACCTGATAGTGGCGCCCGACGAAGAAGAATAACCATGGTCGAATTTCAAGAAGAACCTGCGCTGCCTTCAGAAGCGGCTCAGAATCCAGAAATGCCAGCTGCCGCCCTGGAAGGATTTGGTTACATCGTCCAGACCATGCGCGCAGCGATGAAACCAGAAACAACATTTAATGGAAACTCACCGGTAACCCGTTACTTTTTTTGGAAAAATTGATGACCACTTCATGCTGTATCCCCGTGCACGAGTTCCAGAAAAGTTACCTTAGCTACCAGCGCTTTGAGGGGCCAAGCGCTTAATTGGTTCAAATGTATAGGCAAGAAAGTCTCTTGGGTCAAGCAGGAAGTCCCACCTATACTTACGAAAATTTCAAGAACTGCCTTAGTAAAAGCCTTCCCTGTCGTAAGGGATCGTGCGAAAATTAGGAAGCGGAACTCTTCAGCATATATCCAGCAACGAATCGAAAATCTCTCAAGCTTTATTTTAAGAAAAATTCACGTCTTTCAAACTCTTGTATGGAAACCGTCCGGATCCTGAGATAATTCAAGTCATTTTGCGAGGTTACTTCCCCAAGTGCAAGACTTTATTGAATTAAGAAATCCGACTACACTGGAAAAGTTATTTGAGCTAGCAATCCAGTTTGAAAGAAGAAGAACGGCGGATATTGAAAGAAGACGCCAATATCAACAACGAAACCAATTTGGTGAGCCAAGACCACAGCAAAGTCAAGCACACGGCTACAGAAGCAAAGCGAATCAGTGGGCAAGGAAACCCGAGCATCCAAAAACAGCCGGCGAACGTCGACAGTTCAATAGCAATCCAGAAAAAAAGTCTCAAGGCCAGTGGAAAAAAGAAGGAAAGCATGGAAAGAAAAAAGGATTTAAACTAAAACGGATTTCTGCTGACGGGAGGGTGCGGAAATCAGTAGGCCAAGAAAACCCCTCTTCCTTCAAGTTAAATACAGTAATGGTGAAAAATTTGACTCTTCCGAAGATTGAAGTGTTGGTGAATAACATCCCAGCCATCGCACTCCTGGATACAGGCCCGCAGTGTTCCTGTGTGGCAGAGGATTTTTTTAGGAAGTATTTTCGGAAATACCGCATATATAATTCGGATAATACGACAGTGTTAGCTGCGCAAGGAGAAAGATGCAAGTGCATAGGTAAATTACCGCTATACGTTCGTATCAAGGACGAACAAGTAAAGATTATGTTTTTTATAGTAAAGAATTTGCAAGCACATATCATCT